GGCGTGGCCTGCGGGGGGGAAGGGCGTCCAGTACCGGGCTGCTGTCGACGGCCCTCGCTCTCCCTCTCGGGCCCTTGGCGCGATTGATCCGCGAACGTAATTGCCCGAGTGGAACGAGGCGCTGGCTGGAACCAAGCGGCGGTGAGAACATGGCGGTTGCTTGAGGCGGCCCCTGCCAGCCCTCGCCGCTGCAGCACGCGGGTTGGATTCTTGTATTACAAAGCAGTGACGGCGAAAGGAGTGGGAATTGCCCTTACAGCTGCTCAAGCAGTCCTGTAACCTTCAAGTGACTCTTCACTGGCAAAATATTTACAGAATGGTTGTTCTATGTTGTGGTCCAATCTGCATTTCATAGCTTTGAAAAAAAGTTAAATCAGTAATACTGGTGCAGCTGTAACTTGCCAAAAGCTCACCAAACTCATAATCTCTGAGAAACGGTTTTCAACTTTTCCACATGATTAAATCTAAACCTAAAAATCTAGTAAAAATTGAGACCTCCATGTAGCAAAAGTAAGTTTATTGACAACACTTCTGTCGTGGTAGTTCTGAGGGACTTGGAGGTAATTCACAGGCACCGCTTCCTATTAGCCCTGCGGTCTGCCCACCACAAGCTGAAACCGCTGCCTGGAGGAATTGTTATTAGAGAAATAACTTAAAATACACACGTGTGTAATAATTAAGGAAAGACTGATAACTTTCCATGCAGTTATGTGTTGGGTCTGTTTTGTTTTTTTTTTTTTTTAGTCAAATACATTATAGGGGGAAAAATCTTTACATAAGACAGTAGATGTTCGGAAGAAAAATACACGTTGACATATTCAGTAATGGCAAAGGATAAGAAGAAAGATGGCAAGAAGGCAGAAAAATCTGTATGTCCTCCTCCTATTCCTGCACAAGATACTGCAGCTGAGAGTAGTTCAACAAAGCTGACAGATTTGCAGACTTTGGTAAATGGAATGGAAGAAACACAAGCAAATCCAGTGATATCAGATAAAGAACCAGAGGAGGTAGAGGACCCTCCGGTCCAAGATGTTAGTCAATACTACAAGGAGCCTGTTCTTACTGAAGTTACTGTAAAAAGGTATGCTTGTTACAAACACATTGGTGAAATCAAAAATTCTCAAATTTAAGTATCTCTAGGGTACCCAGTTTCGTACAAACACGGATTTGACTCTTGATTTGAGGCAGTGAATCAAGTTATTTGGACCTAGTAGCCATGACGCCTTACAAGTCTGGTATGTGGAATTCTGCTGCTTTCTTGCACCCTGGAGTGTTGCTGGCAGTCTTCTGCCTGCCAAAAGTCTCGTTCTTTTAGCTTGTTCACTTACAGTGAAGTTTTGTTTAAGTATACAGGCAGTTGGTGAAGAAAATGTAGTTATGTCATTTAATGTTAATTTGTTGCTGCCTTTTAATGTCTAGGGCTGCTCATGTCCCTTAAGAGTATCCTAAACTGAGGAAACAGGTGAATGGAAGTGTCAACTGAATCCTTTGGTAGCTCAAGGGGACTACAAGTAATGTTTCACACTGACAAGGTTACCTGATTGTAAGACAGTAGATGCTACTAGTGTGATTTGTTTTGTTAATTGTCATATCGGTTTGATGTGACACAACAGTTACATGAAATATTACAAAGAAGGTGCAAAAAATTGGTAATTTTGTTGTAGTTAATTTTTCTAGACAAGATGCAGCAACTGGCCTATGTAGACCATGGGAAATCAAAGGTCATTTATTGTCTGTCTGTTGTGATTCAAGTCTACTGGCAGTGACTTGAAATCTTCACCTTTAGTTTGTTTTCCTTGTAGCTATGAAGGTGAAAAAGTCCGTGGATTTTATGAGGGTGAAGGATTTGCGTATTTTGAGGGGGGAAATACATATAAGGTGAGTGTATAAATTAAAAAGTAGTAGTGGATCAACTTCTTTAGAACAGGCAGGCTATCTATGTCTTTTAATGTAGGTGGGGGTTGAGCACTCAGAATGTGTAAGCATTGAAAGCTCAGCTGGTTTCTGGCATTAAAACTTCATTTGAAATTAGTAGTTGGGGGGGAATTAATATGTCATTGTTTTGAAATCTTAGTCAGTGTAAGTCAGTTGTGATAATGAATTTGCAAGCAATGCTATTCTCTTCATTTTGAAGGGCATGTTTTCTGAAGGGCTAATGCATGGACAAGGGACTTACACATGGGCTGATGGAGTGAAGTATGAGGTAAGGTGCAATTTAACTTTTAACTGAACACAATTACAGCCAATTAGATATGCAAATTCAAGGAAAGTAGATAAGTTGCAGTAATTGACTCAGTACATATGGCAACTGCAGAACTATGGCAGTGACTTAAATCATGAGCCTGACTTCTAGATAGCTGGGGAACAGTGAGTCTCAGTTTTTTAAATGTTGTAATATAATCTTTTAGGGAACGTTTGTTAAGAACGTGCAGATGTTTAATGGCTGGTATACATGGAATGATGGCAGCGTTTATGAAGGATCAATCAAGAACGGAGTTAGGCATGGATTTGGATTTTTCAGGAGCGGTACTCATCCTGTTTCTTACGTTGGCTATTGGTGTAAAGGCAAAAGACATGGAAAGGCAAGTATGAACACCAAATGGTGTTGGGTGACTACCTTCTAGAACAGCAAGCACTCTTGTACACAGGTTTTGCAAAAACTCTCTGTGCCGTGGCATGGTTATATGCTGTGTAGAGATTTGTTTTACCCAAGGATCTTCTTTGAAGTTGTGAATGCCAGTTAAAACAATTGGGATGGGATCTTGTTTGTAGTAGAAGGGATGAATGGTATTCTAAAAGAGTAATTGGCCTGTTACGTGGTTTGTCCTTTTTGCTGCTCCAGGTAGACAATGACAAAGTCGAAACTGACAACTGCATCAGCGGCCACGTAACAATTAGCTTCCTAGTAATGACAAAGTGATCCCGTCTCCCAAGCGTGTTAAGCAGATCAAGTATGATAATTACAATTAAGACTTTCTTATCTAGTGCAAGTTAGGTCTAGTTCTAACTTTTTAAAGGCAAGTAGTGCTCTTATCTGTTTCTGTTTTGTGGATCCAGATTGAGACACTCTTCTGGGCCTGACATTTTGAAGACCAATGCTCAGCATGTGAGGAAAACCCATTCTAATCACATGGGGTTTTTTTGTTCTGTGTCACTAATGAGACACAAAAGTCACACAGGCTGCTGTGAAGGGTCACCAGTGCAACATTCTGTTCAGTTTGTTCTCAAGAGAAAGACAGAATGATTAACACTGTAGACCTACTGTTGGAATGTGAACTCTGAGTCAGAAAACTGATCTACCTCAGTGTGGCTGCTGTGATTAAGTTGCCAAATTTAGCTCCCTGAAAGTATTTCCAAGTGTTTTGAAAAACATGGTAGATTTTAACGTTGTGTAATATGGTTTGGTTTTTTTTTTGAACACTTGATCTTTTTTAAGGTCTTAACTAATATTCATCAAAAAAGGTTGCTTTTTTATTTAATTTTATCACTTCAGTTGCTTTTGGTACAGTGTCTCAAAGTGACTATGAAAAGAGTGTAGTTACATGTAGCTTATAGAATTTTTATGCAATATTTTATTAATATAGATGAATATTTAGGTATTTAAATTGACTATACTGTTTGTTTCAGGGTACCATTTATTATAATCTGGAACATACCTCTTGGTATTCAGGTGACTGGGTAAATAACGTCAAAGATGGATGGGGAATGAGATGGTAAATGTGATAGCACTTGTTCTTCATTTTTTTTTATTTTACATGTATTATCATACAGTTTCTCTAATTGTTTAAAATGGATACAAATGCTACATTTCATAGTAGTGTGTACTTTCTGCAGTAGAATAAATTGTACAAAGTGCTTTATAGTAATAAAATAGACCTTCTCTATAACTTCCATTTTTATGTTGACATATTTCTACTGATCATTCCCACAAAAGAATGTCTAAAGACAAAATCCAAAGTCAGTTTCGGTAAAACACAAATCAACATTTAAAACCAAATAAACTCGATTGTTTCAAACAGATGGAGCTGCTTTCATGAATAAATTAATTATTTGTGGGATTATATGTAAAAGAATATTTTGATTAGCTATGGTGAAGACTGGAGAAAAAAAGAACTGGTTAATATTTTTACAGGGGTTTGTGAGTTAAAAGTAGGAGGTAAATAGTTGGTACAATCAAACCTCTGTATCCATGTCACGGTAAAATAACTTTCAAAGTAATGCTTATATTTAGCATTAATAAATGCTAATTTTATTAGCAGTGAGGTTTTGCATAAACTTTCGTTTCATTAGATCAACTTAGAATTCAGTATGAATGTGTTGTTTACTTTTATTTTGCAGCTATAAGTCGGGAAATATCTATGAAGGTCACTGGGAGAAAAATGTACGTCATGGAAAAGGAAGAATGAGATGGTTGACTGCTAATCAAGAGTATATGGGACAGTGGGTGTATGGCATACAGGTAAATAATTTCTTCCCCAGCAACCTCTTTAGTTCAGTATTCTCTCTGTTACTGTAGTAAAACAGGACAAGGAGTTTTGTGCAATATCAAAGGAGCTTTGTATGATATTTGCCAGTTGAGATAGCGGAAATATGCTGTTTATTGTAAGTTGATTCTCGTGTTAGCAATATTCAAATTGTTTAATGGCTTTTGACTTAGTCTTTCAAAATCATAATTTAATTCTCTCATGAAAATGTAAACTTTTTTCATAAAAAAAGAAAAAAAAAATTAAAATTTAAGCATGTTTGACTATACTGAGCTTGAGATGTGACTTCAGCAGCGAATATACGTGATGATTTACTTCTGTGTCACCTGTAAAATATTCGACCACGCTGTTCCCTCTTGTAAAAATGTTACGATGGAAGGAGATGATTTCTGGCATTTTCTGTTCCTTTGGTTTATTATTCTGTTGGAAAACGAATGTGAGCTACTTCCTGTGTCTTTTCACTCTGCGTGAAGTTGCCAAGGAGTCCAGCTTCTAGAGCACTGTGGCTCTCTGTCTGGCATGGTGTTCCTCACCCGGCTGTTCGGCATTACAGTCAAAAGGATTCAGGCAGGAGGGATATCTTTAGGAGTTCTGTTGTTAGAGCTTGCTCAAGTATGTTGATTTGCTATACCTCTGAACACTTTTCCCCTGCACCTTTGTAGAATATACAAGTATGAACTGGGTGCTCTTATTTAAGAGATTTGCCAGCGTGACTCTTAAAGGTACCTGGGTGGTTCTCCTTTTTGAAAGTCTGGACCTGTAGCAATAGTAGCTTTTCTGAAGACTTTTTTTTTTTTTTTTTACACACACACGATTTTTTTCAGCATGGATATGGCACCCACATATGGTTTTTGAAGAGAATGCCTATGTCTCAGTATCCTTTGAGGAATGAATACGTAGGTGATTTTGTAAATGGGGAACGACATGGATGTGGGAAGTTCATCTATGCCAGTGGAGCAGTGTACGATGGTGAATGGGTTTGTAATAAGAAGCATGGCAAGGTGAGTACTGACAAGTAGTGAGACCAAGCTACAGACAGCTCCAGAGGAGACTATTCTGCTCTGTATTAGTAGGTCTCTAGATTTCCGTACAGAAAACTACGTTCAATTTGCATTGTGTATGGAATCACAACGTAAAGGGCAGAGTCCGCTGAAAGCAGTAGGAGTCCTGCCAAGGACCTTGCTGCGCCACAGATTTGACTCTGTGGTTAGATGTGTGTTGTGTGGATAAAGAAATAATGTTTTGCTGTGGAGGTTTTCAGTGCGGCAGGTGCATCTTGATTTTTGCAGTGGCTGGTCAGTATTTCACTCTTACACTGTGAGCTGTATGGGTTTCAAGCTATCCTTGCACAGAGATGTTCTCACATTAACAGACTGTTTTAAAAAACCTGTGAGTGGAGTGTGCCACATACGCAAACTAAAGATTGCAAACAAGTCTTTCTATGTGGGGGGGAAATGTTTTTTCCTCAAAATACTTTTAAAAATCAAACATATGTAGGCAGTTCTTCATCCCAGCAGTGTGCTTCAATTAGCAGATGACAAAGTACTTTATAAAAGAGGGTAGTAAAAATGATTTTGCTTTATGTCATATATTGCATTTTAGCCAAGATTCTTAAAAGGAAATTTGATTGAGAGCGTTAGTATTATTTTTTCTGATGTTTGATTTATATTTATATTGAAGTTAATCAAATTAATCTGTTTACAGGGCAAGTTTGTCTTCAAGAATGGTCATGTTTATGAAGGAGAGTTCATAGATGATCATATAGTAGAGTATCCTGCTTTTGGAGTGGATGCAGTGAATGCAAAAGAGCTGAATGCCACTTGTACAGGAAGTCATTTTGGTGCTGGTAAGCAGGTTAAGAAAACAAATTCTACTCGGTTCACATTTTGTTGTTCCTTTTTCCTATAATGTGAAACTGTCATACTTACTCAAGAGCCAGACAAGTTTCTTCAAAGAACTTTGATAAAATGAGTTACCTTAATAATTGACTTTTGCTCCCATGCTTCTTGTTTCCTGTACATGACACTTTGAGTTGAGCAACACGTCCACACTACATTTTATAATGCTTTTGGAACACTATTGTCTGAGAGTTTCATAACTTGAGTTAATATCTGCATTTCCTTTTGACTAGGGCTTGGATTTGACAAAACTACTCTTCAGTTGTTATGCTGTCGATTATGAAATCTTTACTCCTTACTATAAAGTCTGTTATTCTCAGTTTGAAGTCAGTAAGATAAGAAGGAATAGTGTATGTTTTGTTTTGAGTGTGTGTATATATATTTTTAGCTTCTTTTCAGTTTATTCTGTTTTATTTTATTTGCATGGTAGAAAATATCGCAATCAATAATGGCTCAGAAGGTACTTATGTTCTGGGATCAAATATTGGGTTGGATATATCTTCAGTGCTTGACTTATTGCCAAGGGAAGAGAGACATGAAGAACTGAAACAAGTAAGAGGCTACTGTTTGATATTTTCAGTTTCCCCCCACAGTGTGTTTCATATTATTTTATTTCTGGTTTATTTGTATTGAAGTAACTATTTCCATTAAAGAATTATTCAAAAATCTGAAGGCTGTGAAAACAGAAAAGCAAAAACATTGAATAGACAGTATTGCTTCTTCCTGAGCTTCTACTAGAAGACAACAGAAATTTGTTAATATATCTGGAAGGGCATTCAGCAACTAGCTTTAGCTATTGTGAAGTTCGTCTGCTGACAGAGGCTGATGTATTTTATCAGTCACCAAAAAATATATATTATAACTACATTTGAGTAATGCTCTCATGAACACTTAACCAGGGATATGCTCTTGGAAGTTACAACATCGAAAGAATTATATGCCCAGTTACAGGATCAACACAAGCTGATCCCTACTTGCTGTGAGACAATGTTGAAAACGTATCCTGCTTTATTTAGGTAGAATTTGCTGTGTTGAGGCATATTACAGAACTGAGAAGAGTTTACACCTTCTACAGCGGCTTAGGCTGTGATCCTTCTCTTGACAACACCTACGTCATGACTAAGCTCCAATTTTGGAGATTTCTGAAGGACTGCCGCTTTCATCACTCCAACATAGCTCTTGCTGAAATGGATCGGATATTAAGTGGTTTGTATTTCTGTTGATGCGGGTCTAGAATCTCGGAATTTTAATAGTAGGCTGTGGAGAGCGGAGTGCCAAGTTCTACTGATAGCTCAGCACTAGTAGCTGAGTGGCCCTGGATGTGTACCTCTGCCTCTGAGCTCTCAGTGGATGCATTAACACTTCTCTAGGTACTTCAGGTGCTTAGGGGAGAAAATGCAAAATTAAAAAAATGTTCTAAAGAGCCATCTATTAAAAACTGTTTTCACCCCTGGTCTTGCATTACTATTACATCTAGTTTTAGAGGTCTGAGAAAGAGAAGTGGAAGTAACAAATCTTTTTCTATTTTTTTTTACGTTTTTTTCTTCCATAGAGACAGTTAATCAGTTTAGACCTGCAGTGAGATGTGCTGCAGTGTCCCTAGTATGTGAAGTGTTTAACTCCAGCTTTGCTTCCTCTTTCGTTCCTATATATATTTCTAGAAAGACAGAATTTGATAAGATTCAGCTATAGGTGGATGGTTCTGCCTTGACCTGCTTGTTTGGAAGTGACGCTGTGTCTGGTCTGATTCTTCCAGGACTGTTGTTTGCTGTGATAGGTACAGATGGAAAGGATAAGAAAGGCTGACAAGTCAATAAGCCTGTAAGGATTTTAATGGACATAATAGCAATAGAGATTTATTTTTTTCAAATTTTTTAGGCGATAATACATCACTTGAGGAGATACATTGTCCACATGAGACTTTACTGTTCAGAACGTTTTTATCTTACCTTATTCGACTAGCATTTTGTATCTATCATGAAGAGCACAAGTAAGTCTCATCATTTAGTGAAATTTATTTCGGTGTAATCAGTTTGGGTCTTCCCAGACAAGAGTGTCTTTGTTTCAACTGCAGAGAGAAAGGTGCCTATCTGCATAAGTGTTTCTTAGAAATGATGTCCAGT